GTATTTATCACGACTGTTTGAAAGTAGATTCGACCAATAAAATAAACAAAAAAAGAAGTAGCTGATTTTAAGGGAAGATAATGATATATTCATGATGCCCCAATAGTCACTTTCGGAGCTGGGAACATGGTGGGGCCCCGCGATTTGTCACGTCAGCCTCGCATCTTCGTGCTTTTGAATAGATTTTGGTCTCCCCAAATAGGTCTATGCTAAGCCTTTTTAATTTTATTTAATTTTTTTAAAAAAATTAATTCCGTTTTCTTTTTAATTTTCAAATAATGTGATGAGATCTAATCCACATGTTAATGGCCGTGGGCGATAATATACCCCCCATTTAGAGGCTAGGCTAGACCTCGTTCCCCGTGAACCTAAAATAGTGTCACGACTTTGCTAGACCATATGATATGTCCCATTAAATAACATAAGAGCTAACATTATTCCAATTCCATCACCTTTTAGCTCCAATTATGATTAAAAAAAAAATTGGATTCGTGGCAAATCTATGGCGGTTTCTTAACGATGTCGACCTTTCGAAGTGTGACGATGTTCGGGAGGCGGGACTCGTGTTGAAATTAATCAAAGAATCAAGTAGAGCCTCGGAATTTCGTGGCGTGCCGTTACGGGCAAAATCACTTTTCTTTTTTTTTTCCGGCGAAGGCTCTGTGCGTGGTGAATTATGTTGCGCTAATTAAAGAACTATGCTCGTGCAATGATTGGAATAATTTATCCCATGATTTTATAAAACCACATGAAGAATAATCATATTGGAAAATGGTTCGTGCAAAAAAAATTATGTTAGGGGAGAATAATATAAATGGTTTATGAACTTCAGTCCAATATGGAATATCGTTCATGAACTTTTAATTTGTTCAATGTGAATCATGAATTATTGAAAAATATTTCATGTAGTCATTTTGTTTGCTCGAACGATAAATTAGACGTTATTTGATGATCTGAATGATTATATGTTGAGTTGTACTTTTAAAAATGATAAGTCAATACATCCATCTTTTTATCCATCTACTTTAGAATAGGGAAAAAATTAGCACCTTAACACATCTATCGTTATTTAATGACGTTGATTATTATATCCTGATTTGAGATGAATATTATACTCGGCTTATCAAAATTTAACTATTTTTTGTTGCTCACCGTCAAACTTAACGGATTTTGAAAGCCACCGTTAGCAGATTCCATTAACTTTCAACTAAAGTGAGGACAGCATTGAACATCTTCATATAGTTGATTGGCTAGATCAAATATTTTCTAATAGTTCAAGGACGGTAATGCACGTTAAATCAAAGTTTATAGGCCAAAATTTATTCCCATTGCGTTTAGGGTACTAATGACGCGTGCTAACCCTAATTAACCGCAGGCTCCGTGGGCCCATTTGAGCTGGATTTGGAAACTCATCCTCCCCCATACAGAAACATTAGCAAAGTGAGAACTCGATGCTTCTTCGAGTGAAAAGTGTGAAAAGGAACTTCGACAATGATTAGCTCCCCTCGTGATCGAATTACTCCAAATCCACGATCGTATCACGTAATCATGGTTACTTTGAACCTAAAGCAAAGTTCCAAAAAGCATAGCTATATGCAGATCGATAAGCCTAGAGATCTAGCCACCGAGAGAGAGAGAGAGAGAAAAGAGCTTGAGCTTGTGACTCTCTCGTGTCCATTTCCTTGTTCATGTTCCCCAACCATCGGTCCAGAATCGGAGTTGATAATGCAAACAGGTGAATCAAAACATCTTGTTGGGTCGTGGAAATAATGATCGTTTGTCAAGATGTAATCCATTCTCTTCCGTGAAACAGCGCTCGTGGTTATGATGCCCCGGCGCATCATTTTGTCCCGGGCCTCCTCCCTTGGACGGGCGCGTTAATCGAGTGAACGATGCGCCCCGGAGGAGGATGGCGGATAAAGGCGGGCGGGAGGGGGGGGTTTCGGTGGTGGTCACCGACCTCCGGTCGGTCGGTAGATGCGCCTTGCGATTTGGCTCGTGAGAGATTTTACGGGTATCGTTTTTTTTTTTTTTTTTCACTCCCTAGTGAATTCCGAGATTAATGTCCACCGACCAAATTCTTATGTCCGCCACCACACCTTCAATTCAATCAAGCTAGCGGCTAAATGTTGAATTTGTCCATTTAGAAGACTTTCTTTTTCCTTGTCTTTTTCTCTCTCTCTTTTCCATTTTAAAAAAAAATGGAGAACTACACTACTAGTTGAATTGAAGACTATGCAAGCAAAAAAAAAAAAAATTTCAGAGAAAAGATTGAAAAAAAAAAAAGCCCATGGACCGCCACCTATCGTGGGCCTCATTTGGAAATAGAAATCCATCCAATTCATTGAGTTGAGAATTGGCATGGTTTGGTTTATGCAAGAGGCAATAACAACATTAGGAACATCACCTGAAAGGTAAAACCTAGGCGATTTACCTTTTTTTTTTTCTTTTTATGAGATCATCCTATGCTTTAACTATAGTTACTCGACTCGAGATTTATCTATCTACACTCGAAAGCCCGTCGATGAAATGCATGCCGAGTATCGACAGCCCGCGTATCTCCCGTATTTAATGACTATGGCGATCTCACAGCCTAAGATCATATCGAGTTCTTCTCTATTTTTTTTTCTCGTGGAATCATTGTAAAGTTGTTTAGAATATTTATTCCTAACATGTCTTTTGTATGTATAATTTTTTTTTTGCTAACTCATGCCGGTCTCATCGACCAACTTTACGAAAGCATTTTGTCACATGTATTATTATATCATGCCTCAGAAAACTTGCGAAAACTACCGGATGTTGCAATTAAATCGACACGAAATCACTAAAAAATTAATAAATGTTTAACGTGGTTCGGTCCGAATATCGGTCCTTACCCTACGGAGAAAGCCACTAGCAAATAATTGGCTAATTAATCGGAGAATTGCAGAGTGACGATCAACTCACACATTCGAGTATCTTTCAATTCTAATTTATATCAAAACCCGCAAGCGTTTATAAAGAAAACGACTGTTCGGGCCTTGAAATCATGGCACAATCCACACCTAATTTATATGAGCTCCTATTTTTTTTTTTTTACTCTGCGCCAATCTTAGATTTGATTTGCTCCTAGGAAAAAAACAAAAAAAATCAAACCCTCGATGACGGTGTACTCACTTGAGCAATTCTGATCCAAATAGAAAAGTGATTTGTTAGGATTTCTTTCCGAACATATTCCGATTAACAAAAAAAAAACCAATATACATCCTTTGATCGAATTGAGTTTCGCATACCAACTCAAACTCGAGATATAATTCAATAAAATAAAATAAAATGTCTATCTATTGACGACACGAGACTAAACAAGGATTTTCACGGCACGTGAGAGCGATAACGAAATTCGCGTTAAGTAAAGTTTTGTCAAATCGTGACACGCTATTGTACATGAGATTGAAATCCTTTCTTCACGTTCGATGTCCTTGTTCCCCTCCCCAAACACTAAATCGGTCCCGGTCGAGATAGCTGAACCGACGACTACTTGACGCTCCAAACACGGTACACGGTACTAACACTTAATCTTGTAAAATGAATAATATGCCATATCAGCGCGTTACTTAATTTTGGCAATGACACTAAATTGGTCCGGCACTTATCGACACACCTATCAACAGTTGTCTTGCCAACATTTCTAGGTCCCATTACACGAAACCGTAAATAAGTAATCAACTTTCTTTCCTCTTTTTTCATGAAATATATATACACATACTTAGTTATAGTATAGGATAATGACATAAACAATCCTTAAACTTTAACCCAATGTACAATGTGATACCCAAACTTTTAATTTATTCAATATCGTCCCCTAACACAATTTTAGTTTCAAACCATATGGTATCATGTAGTGGGAAAAACCGAAAAAGAAAAGTGATCAATTCCATTGGACCGAAAATCGAAACCGGACCGGACCACTGGTCCCGTTCTCGGTTCTAGGATCAATCGGTTTAGTTCCTGGTTTCCGCTCGGGAACCGATCACCTCTAGTAAATAATGATTGATTTACTAATAAAAGAGGGAATGATTGCCCACTATTAATCTCCCGTAATTAATATAATTATTTATTAATCCAACGAGATCATCCTATAAAATTTTTGTGGGACCCACGTATTTTTGATGCAGTACATTGAATCATTCATTACATCAGGCACGAGATAAACTCGCAAGGAATATCTGTGCCCGAAATTAATACTAAAGTTAACATATAAATATTCGGCTTTTAAGGTAGAATTTCGAAATTCGAAATATCTCCTCCTAAACATAATTGTTTTCACATAATTGCTTTCACATAATTGTTTCAACCAAAAAAAACATAATTCGTTTCACAAAGCCATACCAAATAAAATATGCATACGCGATTACATATCGAGAAAGCACAATTTATAGATGAAACGACGAATAGTGAGAAAAAAAAATGACACAAATAATTTTTGAATTTTGATCAAATGCGCAACATGATCTCTGAATTTTTAATTGGATCAATGTGATCCCTGAACTTTAGTTCAATGCGCAATATAGCTCCTGAACTTTTAAATTGTTCAATGTAGCCCTTTGAATTTTTTTATAAATGTTCAATTTAATTCATATACTATATGAAGATGTTCAATGTTGTCTTTGAAGTTGAATCAATGGAAATACAACATTGCACATTTTCATATAATCTAAGAATTGAATTCAGGAGCCATATTTCACATTGCGGTAAAGTTCAGGGACCGCATTAAATAAATTAAAATTTTAAAATTCACGTTGACATCGGGCCAAAGTTCGGGGATCATTTGTCATAATCCCCAAAAAAAAAAAAACAATTGATCGAATTTTTTTCTGTCATCTTGGTTTTTAATTGTTAAATATGGAAAAAGCAAAAGGCAAAATAGGTTTTGAAGTTCTGAGTCGCCCGGTTGACTTGGACGTCATCCTTGACTCGCCCCCACCCCCCGACGCTTCCCACGCAGCTTCCTCCTTCACTTCACGTGCTTCTCCCTCCGTCGAACCCTGAAAAGGCGAACAAACTCTCCGTCTTTCTCTCACTCCCACTCATGCCTCCGATCTCGCATCCACCGCCGGCACGGCGGAAGCTCGCCGCCGCCGCCGCCGCTGCCTCCGCCGCCCTCTTCCTCCTCCTCCTCCCGACCCTTCTCCCTACCGCCGCCGCCCAACCGGCGACTGCTCCGCCGAGCGGCGACTCCTCCTCCACCGTCCCGGCCAACGGCGCCTTCAACCCCTCCGTCGCACTCGTCTTGCTCGCCATCATCGTCGTCCTCTTCCTCCTCACCTCCTTCTCCGCCTACATACTCCACTGCTCCCCCGCCCCCGAGGGATCCATCGGCCGCGCCGTCCGCTCGCTCCGCCGCCTCGCCGCCCCCCGCGGCCTCGACCCCGCCGTCATCGAGACCTTCCCGACCGCCGTCTACTCCGCCGTGAAGGGGCACAGGATCGGCGAGGCGTCGCTGGAGTGCGCCGTGTGCCTGAACGACTTCGAGGACGACGACACGCTCCGCCTGATCCCCAAGTGCGACCACGCGTTCCACCCCGAATGCATCGGCGCCTGGCTCGCCTCCCACACCACCTGCCCCGTCTGCCGCGCCGACCTCGCCTCGCAGCCGACCGGCGACTCGGAAGGTCAACCCGCCGAGCCGGGCACCGAGCCGCCGCGGGTGGAGGTGACCGTCGTCGAGGCGGCTCCGCCCGATGGCGGCGCGCTGGAGAGGAGCCCGCGGGAGCGAATCCCGCCGCCAGATCCATGGGACAAGAACGGGGGCGGCAGCTTCAATAATCGCAACCGAACACGCGGCTCCGGCAGGATCCGGAGATTTTCTCGGTCGCACTCGACCGGGCACTCGCTGGTCCGACCGGGCGAGGACACGGAGCGGTTCACCCTGAGGCTGCCCGCCGAGGTGAGGAAGCAATTGATGGACCGGCCCGGGCCGGTCCTGCCCCAGGAAGGCTGCTCGAGGCGAGGATACCGGTCCGGAGGCGAAGGGAGCAGCCGAGGGAGGTACTTCAGGAGGCCGGACCGGCTGGACCGGGCGGCCAAGTCGGAGAGGTTCAGTAGGATGCCGTCGTTCTTCGCGCGCGTGTCGTCGGCCCTCTCGCCTAGAGTGGCTGCTGCCGCCGCCGGCGGAGGCGGAGGGTCCTCTCGGGGTTTGGTGCAACAGGCTCGACCGGCCATCTAATGGCTAAATTAGTGACATCGCCGAAAAAGATAGGGACAGTTTCGGGAATTTCGCAGGGATTGATTTGTTTTTCGTGGGTGATTGCCAAAAATTTGTCAAATTTTAGGAGATTAGTGACAATGGATAGGAAGCTTAGAAAATTATGTGAGCAAATTTTTTAAATTGAAGTTGAGTAAAGAGATTGGTTAGTCATCTCGTGTTTGTTTTAACATCGTTTTTTCAGATGAATTAGGGTGTTATGTAAATCAATGACAATGATTGCAAAATCGGAAAAAATAAAATCCGAGAAATTATTAATTTTTAATTTAAAAATGATTTGATCCGAATATTTTAATTTTTTTCTCAGTAAGATGGAAAACGATGATGAAATTTACTAGTGCAAGGATATACAAAGCGGGAAGTTATACGAATGTCTGCATCTATTTGCTTGTTCGAGTTTTGCCTATATGTATCAGCCAAGCATTTCAAAGGAGATATGATTAAATCCCTTATATCTTTTGCAAATTTTGGACTTTAGATGATAAATGTAATAAATATCCCATCCCCAAAACTATTTAATATCAAACCTTTTTAGGTTGCGCGAATTCCTATAATTAGTAAAGAGTGTGGCCGATGCTTCGGAAAAATATATAGTGTTGTACATTAAGTACCATTTCGTCTCACTTATTAAGGGCGTGAAGAGTTAAAATAAATTAATCGAGGGCCATTTTTTTTGTCCATGACCAAAAGGAACGAAACCCACTCTTTTTCTCATGACTAAAAATTAGGATAATACTGCCCGTGCGATGCTCAAATTGGATAAATACTTAAAAACGATATAATGATATTACTGTCATCGCGAAATACAAAATAAGTTATCTCAAAAATTAAAACTACCTCCTCACTCTCACAAACACAATTACCGTACATGATAATTTCTACTGTCTAAGTTTCCAGTTGAAAAAAAGAAAAGAAAAAAGTCCGCAATGCCAAGAAGACCAATCATTCAAACATCAATGCCTCAAATTTTTCATCGTATAATATATTCTATTAATTAATTCCAAACGATGAATTAAGTTTGATAAAAAGTAAGGATCAAATAAATTAAACAGGGAGCGAAATGTTAGATATAATCATTAAAAAAAAAATTCAAGAAGACACAAAACCACCCTGTTATTAAAATTCATTTTGTGCGACACGTATACATTTTGTCTTGAATTTTTTTTTTGTGTGTTTCGAATGGTATTTTTTTTTTTTGGGTCGAATTTCGAATGGCATTTTGCTAGGTAAAAAGTAGGGATATTAATAGAATGAAGTATGAAATAGAGAGCGGAATAAAAATACATAAATCCAAATTTTCGAGAACTTTAACCTTATCACATCACATTACATGGCACTTAAGACGATCACATGGAAGTTCCAAAATCCCCAGTTGACAAAACGGGCCAAATTCCACTTGGGAAGTGAAAAGGACGTCCTCCAAATTGAAAGCTCCACCACTTTTGCAGGATCGCAGAAAGAGAGAGGGAGGGAGTAAATGGAATGTGAGAAAAATTGTGGCAAAGGGTCAGAAGAGTCGTCACTAATTCGGCTGCTTTCATCCAATTTCTATGGGCAATGATACATGCTGCTGTTAATTTCTTTGTGAAGAAGGCCAAATGAAGACCAACTTCTAATGCTATGGGGAAAAAAAAAAAACACAAACTAATTTTTCGAGAATTAATCGGATTGGAGCTATAGCGCCGTCGGTTGTTGTGACGTGCAACATCATTCCATCTTTTGAAAATCCTAGAAAATTGTGCTGAAATTAATGCGATCTTCATGTGCCATCTCCATCAGGGCAAAGCAAAAATTATAACTTTTTTAAAAACAGCAGGAGAAGGAAGTTGCGTCATGCACTGCGTCACTTCATGCATTGCGATTGCCTTGCTGTTTTCTAAGCCCCGATAAGCCGGGCCTGATTATAGATAGGATTCACAGATTAAGTTATGACAAACCTTTGACTTGATGGGGAGAGGAGGGAATCGCGCCACGTGTCAATGAATTGTGACGAAACTATTACTGTTTAACTTTTTAAAGTATGTGTCCAGCTATTGTGCACATGTTTTTTTTTCCCGACATCGGCCAATACGCACATTAACATTATTTAAAATCGATAAAAACACGTGAAGAATCGTGGGACAATATTTCTCTCTCATATGACGGTTGGAATTCGAACATTTATTTAAGAAAAGGGAAAAAACCACCAAAAACCCCAAACTTTGTCATCTGTGACACATTTATCCCGAATTTTTTTTTGTGACATCAAAAATCCCGAACTTTGCTTTTTGTGACACATTTACCTCAATATATTTAGTCTATGGGCATTTTCGTCTTTTTTGCTTTTTCTTTTTTTTTCCTTTCCGTGAGGAGGGCCTCGCCGATCCGGCGAGGGCCGCCCATCGCCGGATCCGGCGAGGGGGCCCTCGCCGGCGTCGAGCGAGGGCGGCCCTTGCCGAGATCCGGCGAGGGCGGCCCTCGCCGGCGTCGGGCGGCCCCTCGCCGGCGTCGGGCGAGGTTCGCCCTCGCACAGGTGAGCGAGGGCGGCCTCGCCCGACTCGAGCGAGGTCGACCCTCGCCGGCGAGGCCGTCCTCTCTCCGCGGCCTCCCGGTGAGGTTGGGCCTCGCCATGGTCGGGCGAGGCTCGCCCTCGCCGCGCCCTCCGGCGAGGGCTCGAGCCTCGCCCGACCAAGGCGAGGCTCGCCCTCGCCGGGCGAGGCCGTCCTCGCCAGGGGCCGGTTGCCGGACCGGCGACCGGCCCGAGGAAGGAGGAAGACAACCAAAAAAAAAATTGGAAAAAAAAGAAAAAAAAAGGAAAAAAAATAAAAATTCAAAAAAATATTAAAGTTGTCCACGTCGGCGCCGGTGACCGGCCGCCGGCCGGCAGGCATCCACGTAGGCAAATTCCGGTCTAAATTGGCCGGAAGGACTAAATTGGCACAAAAACAAAAGGTTTAGGACTGAATTGGCACCAATTTAAAAGGTTTAGGACTTAATTGGCACCAAAAAAAGGTTTAGGACTAAATTGGCACAAATGCAAAAGGTTTAGGATGAATTGGCACCAAAAAAAGGTTTAGGACTGAATTGGTACTAATACAAAAGGTTTAGAACTTTTTTGGCACTTTTCCCCTCAACTCCATATCTTTGCTCTACTTGAACAAACACCTTCAGCTTCTACATGGAATAAGCCAATTTCCCGGACGATATTTCATACCTGATTAGCCGATGATCTAAAGACCATCCAGTCGTTCATACTCCAATTGACAGTGTCCGCAAGGCAATCAATCATAAAGCCTGAGTATTTAGCCTAAACAATAGCACGAAACTTCCTAACGACGAAGGGAAGGAGGGAAAAACGAAGTTTGTTTACGCGGCAATGAGATCTCACTGAAAAATGCTTTTTACCGGTTTTAACAGGAGTTCGAGACTAGTCCTGCAGAATACAAAGATGGCATAAACTCTTCAGCATGAGACATCTATTAGCAACTAGTAAGTATTAAGAATACATTGGTAGCTCTATAGCAAGGGAGGGTATTTATCAAGCTCGATGAATTGAATACTGCGGCCTGTAGCATCAATCATATCTTTCCATGGAGGTAATGTAAAGAATTTCTCAATATATATACACTAATTCTTAAAGAACAATCAGATCCATATATGAATGTAGAACACCATAAAAATAAAATAATAATAATACACACAGCGAAATTAAAGCGTACCTATTTGAACCATTGTTATTCTCTAAGAAAAGAAATAGATCAACGTTCTACTGGAATGCTGATCTTCTTCTCTTTGGCCTATTTCGATATAGCAGCTTTCAATGGGATAAAGCGACCGATAGGTATAACCTACCCTTTTATAGGCTAGAGAGGGGACCTAGCAAACTCTAATCGTTAGTGCGTTAACTGGGCCCCTCCCATCACGGGCTTCAGTTAAACACAATTGCCTACACTTTGCTGCTCAACTAGGCCTGTTATTTATAGATGCCGAAACCCAATTCAATAAGATCACTAAAGGGTACAACACATATATTGGAATATCCATTAACCCGAGTATTTAAAATAGAAAATCAATTAATTAATGTAAGCCCATATTATAGGAAATTTCCAACATTCCCCCACTTGGGCTACATTAATTAACCTCTTTTTTTTTTAGAATGATTTTATTTCGAAAATGACACTCTCAGTTAATAACTAAAATTTTGTTTTATGTGGCCACGATTTAAAAAATAAAATAAATAATAATAATAATAATAATAATAATAATAATAATAATAATAATAATAATAATAATAATATTCCAATAATGGCATCTCAAAACCAACCCAATCCTTTATAACCTCAATAGAGGACTATGGTGGTCAAAGTGTTCATGGATCATAGGCCTAGTGGTGTAGTAAGAAATAGTGCCAACATGTGATCAAACATGCACTATTCCTTATCGGTCCTCAACACAATTTCTCAACGACATGAAACTGCATCACCACAATTTCTAAACAATATGAAATTGCCTTAGTACAATTTCTAAACAACATGAAATTGCACAACTATGTCACAATTCAACATGAGATCTCAAAATTAGTGACATCCAGTCATCTTTAAACTAAAATATGTTTAAAGATACTGTTTTATATTTCCATCTCTCAGTCGACATAGCAAAAATAATGATGAAAATCAAAAGTAAATGCTTTAATAAAGATCATAAAAGGCATTATCAGTTTGCATATAATCACAATATCCAGATAAACAAACTATGCAAAACTCCCACTAACAAAAGGAATCAAAAGAATCTAAAACACCCATATTGTTTACATGTTTTTTAAACAGAATGGGTTGTAAAGCTTTTGTTAGAGGATCAGACAACATGGACTCAGTTATAATATTCTCGATCACAACAGCTCCCTTTCTGACCAAGTCCTTAACAGTATAATATTTTATCTCCATGTGTTTAGACGCATTGCTGATTTTGTCATTCTTAGAATAAAACACGGTTGCGGTGTTGTCACAATAGATGACCATCGGTCTTGTAATAGAGTCCACAACCCACAATTCTGAGATCAAATTTTTGAGCCAAACAGCCTGAGTTGAAGCACCATAACAAGCTACAAACTCAGCATACATTGTAGAGTTCGTAATTAAGGTTTGCTTTGTGCTCTTCCAAGAAATAGCACCTCC